CTGCCGTTGCTCTCGCTGCGGCGCCCCCACAGGTCGCTGCGGAACCCCCGAAGAGTGCTGCTGCAGGTGCTGTGATCAGAGACGCAGCAGGGGGAAGTCTAAATGCGTCGCTCCCAAGCCTCAAAGGGCAGGGGAAGTCCTTGCCCTGGTGGAAGAAGGCTGCTGATGCGAAACCCAAGGCCAAGGCAAAAGCCAAGGCCAGTGCCAAGATGGTTTCCAACCGCGTCATTGGCAAGCAGGCTCCCGCAGAGTCAGGTCCGAAGCCACGCTCGGCAGACAAGAAGAAGCGTGCCCAGCGGGGACAGGCACAAACCTTTGCAGGCCGCCGGCCACCTAAGGACCCGGCTCTGTATGAGGCTTTCATGGCCATCCGTGAGGGGTACTACAAGGAAGTGAAGAAAAGCAATGCCGAGGGCAAGCGCAAGATGGGCATCGGCCAGGAGCTCTTCTTGCTGAAGATGAAGCAGACGATGCAGAAGGACAACTCCACGGATTCCCCACAGGTACCCAAGCTGCTATGTGTGTGTCTCTAAATCTAAAGGTCTTTGTGGAGTGCTGTAATCATGGAATGCTGCTCCAAGGTCAAGTTTCAAAAAGCCCTTGCTGCATGGAAAGCAGGTGGCAATGCAGGTTCTGATTGATGCAGAGACTCCATTGAGCAGTGGATGCTTTCGAGGCAAAGCTTCTTTAACGTGTTTCAACAGCTGCCTACGGAGTGGCAGCCCCTTTTGTAAGAGCAGATGGCAAGTCTGTAACAGCAGAAGCCACTGATCTATTTTGATTGCTGGGGAAACATGGAATGTCCATAGCAATGCTTTGTCAGTGGCACCGGGCGCTGCTGCCTGTATGCTTTGAGCAGCTCCCAAAACTTGCTGCAGAGCTAGTGTATGGTACGCACCATGAGACGGCTTGCTTGAAAATGAGCTATCAATCATGCACTCAGATGCCACCCATCTCATGTGCAGCAACATCTACAATTTGTTTTCTTGCTTTTTGGCAGGCAACTTCGTCTTCGGCAGTGCCTCCGATGGCGGGGGGCTTGGAATTGGCCAGTATGGAGAGTGCTGTGCTGTCATACAACAGGAAAGCCAAGGGGTGCCCTAGACACTGACATCACCAAGCTCTACTTCTCAAGTGGCGTGTGGTGCAGTTGCAGGTCCAGCACCTTCTGTGAGTTTTGCATGAGAGGTGCTGCTTTGCACGTGCCCTTGTTACTGCCATTGGCTTTCATCAAGGTAACACAGTTGAGTGTTTAGCCTTAGATTCTGTAGCCCAAGATTTGCAGCTTGAGGCCCCCTTTACATGTAGGCGGAGACAAGAAATTCTTTCTGTGATTGGTTTGGTGCGCATGCCTGCACTTATGTTGGCAACCTGGAATGTCTTCGTCCTGTACTCTAGGATTCTAGGATAATCCAGCATGTCGAACTGGAAATGCCTCAGCCTGACAGAAGACAAATGCCAGGACAGTGACAGTCACTGGAAATTGTTTCCTTTGGAGGGGGTGGAAGGTGCTGCGACGTGCAGAGGCCAAAAGAGATCTGCCACTTCCAATGGCGTGAGCAGTTGGACCCACTTCCCATTGGATGGAGACGTTGCGCATCCCAGGGGGCAAAAGCAACTGAACTGCACACAGCAGTCCCCGAAGGCTTCATCCTGGCAACACCTGCCTTTGGATACAGAAGTTCCTCCTGCGAAGCACCAATGCAAGCAGTCACGGAGTGCAGCAGCAGCTGTTAGTACACCCGTCGTCCACAAGCCTTGCCTGGACAATGACAGTTGGAAGAGCTGCCTGTCTGCAGAAGAGGTTGTGGCCGAGAAGGGAGCTGGGCCTCTTGAAGTAAACCTGACCAAGGAGGTGCTGTCATGTATGCCAAAGGTGCCACTGTCGCAGCAGACATCCTACGCGCAGACTGCCAAGAACAGCAGCCGCATCCAAGATGTCCTGAGATCACGCTGTAGTTGCACTGCAAATTGCTTGTCCAAGCTCCACAAGACAGCAACAGAGGCTGTTGTGCGCATGTGGCATGAGCTTTCCCCTGAAACACATCTCATGGTGCTCCATGGCCTCTATGACAGCTGCCCTGAGAAGATGGACTGCAGGAGGCGACGGTGGGCTTTGAACGGTCAACACGTGTGCTTCCGTGGCTTGGCCAAGGTCCTGGGCCACAACGAGCGGACGCTGCGCAAGTGCATTCATGGTGATGCTGACAAGCGAGGTGCTGAGCTACGGCAGCCCAGGGACTGCCCCCAGACGACATTTGTGCATCACTTCTTCCTTGATCTTTATCTCACTGCAGCAGAGGATTTGCCAGAGGTTGAAAGCTTGCAGAATCCAAACTGCAAACTGGCATCTACGTCTTTTGTTATTCTGCTTCTAGTTGGGGGTTGACCTTGGAAAGCTTGACATGCTTTTGACATACTTTTGGTTGCAACGCACACCGCTGACAGTTGAAGTCCTTGACGCAGGAATGTCGATGAGAAAATCAAGGCAGGTGACATTGCTGAGCCACAGACTTTCCAGTGGTCACCGGAGACGCCAGTTGTGGACCGCATAGTTGCTCTTCTGTCCAAAGACTGCACTGCCCCTGTGCGGTGGCTGCCACCTGGTCAGCTGAGTGACCTCTGGCTGCAGTTTCTGGCCTGGTCGGAGTCACATAGCAGGGTGCGCAGGAATAAGGATACAGTGAAGATAGGTCCAGGCCTGGAATTTGTACCGGGCTGGTACACGTTCTACAACGCTTGGAAACATCATTGGCATTTGCGTCTCCTCAGGTTCAGGCCAACATCCTCACACAAAGAATGCGACATTTGTTTTGATCTCAAGGAAGCCTTGCATCTACGATCTCTGTCACAGGAGGAGAAGGTCAGTAAGGCTGCTGAGTGGCGCCAGCATTTAGCAGACACTTATCATGACCGCATGGTATATTATACCATGCGGTATGCCAGCAGAGCCCGTCTCAATGTTCTTTGCATGATCGTTGACTCTATGGACAAGGCAAAGTGGAGCTACCCTCGCATGAACATCGGCCGGATCCCTGAGAGTCTTGAAAAGCTCAAGAGACCCAGATTAGTCGTGACGGCTTGCTTGGCTCATGGCTTCACTACTGGCCTCTTCATTCAAGACAGTGAAAGGGTCACCCATGGAGCCAACTGCTTCCTGGACCAGGTGTGTCGAATCATTGAAGTTGTGAGGACGCAGGGGCCTTGCCCAGAACATTTGTTCTTGCAAACGGACAACACAACTGCGCTGTCCAAGAACTCTACCAGCCATGTTTTTGCAGCTTTACTGGTTGCCAAGAAACATTTTGCAACTGTCAATATGACATACCTGGTGAAAGGACACACACATGAGGATATTGACGCCTACTTTTCAAGGCTGTTGCCAATCATTCGCCGCTCTGAGTTCAACAATGTGTCAGAGGCTGCAAGCCTCCTGCGGCGAGTGCTGCAAGGAAATGCAGATGGCCAGAAAGATCCTGTGGTAGTGCAGGAAATCAAGGCTGTCAAGGACTTTGAGACATGGCTCCGCCCATTGGGTACCAGGCTGCACAACACCTTTAGAACTCGGAAGCTTGGCTGGCATAGTGCACTTTCCCTGAGTCCTATGCCCTGGACTCCAAGGCAGCAGATTCATGGAAGAGTTTGTTTCCCACGACACCTTGTGTTTAGTATCCATGGCACATGATACGCAAGCACCAGGCTTGTCATGAACTAGATGTCTTGATGCTTCTGTGGCAGATGTGAGCGTCGAGGAGGTTTACCCGCAGTTGAAGAAGATTAGCTTCACGAGACGTGCTGCCTAGTGTTTTGATGGCGCTTTCCAAATTCTGGCCCAAACCCCCTTTGCCCTCAGTTATGCACCCAGGATAGATCCTCGAACTGGGGAAGAACGACCCACTGCCCATGCCTTCACATACAAGAGGCGTCTGGACTTGACAACAGAGGAGCGCAAGCGACTTCTGGCAGTCGACTCTCAGGGTCACCCAGATGATGTTTTGGCAATTGTGAAAGGACGGATGTTCCATGACATTCACGAAGCACATCCTCCAGTATTGGTCTTGCCGCACAGCAGGATTGAGAGCCTGCATTCCTTTCGCGAACTGGCCCTGGAGAAGCGCAATGTCTTCTCTTCGGAGCGTGCTAAAACTCTGCGCAAGCTGGCCGACACTCTTAATGAGATCTGCCGACCCGAACGGGCTGCGAGTGTCCGAAACTTGCTCGCTGATGATGCCACTTTGGAGGAGTACAGTGGTGACATGAAGTGGCTTGCGCAGCCAGGCCAAGTCCATCACCCGGCTTTGGTGGTCACAGGTAATCGATATTTTGCACACATGCCAGATGTTTCTTGGCCACTGCTGGCGACATTCCGGCGGCAGTAATTAGTTGGAGATGTGCAGCATATGCTTGCGTTAGAATTTCGGGGTCATGAAACTAGATAGTCTACTCAGCTGAATGGCCACGGGTGCTGCTTCTCCAAGGTAGCCTTGCAGGGGTGTTGCAAGGTTGGTTGCCATGGGCTCTGATCCATGCATTGTGCATCTGTGCAGCAAAAGTAAGCTGCAGTGCACATGAGTTGCAGACATTGAGCCGATCAAAAGCATGCTTTCTCATCTAATGTGCAAGGGCCTGGATGGCGGATGATGCAAGGCCCTCAGCTGGTGCAAGGAAACTGCTTGCAGTCACACAGCCTGTTCAGCTGCTTCGGATGCTCTTCCTCTGCAATATAGGGAGCTGAGTGCATGCTGCGTG